AAGGTTAACAGCAGCTTATTTTGGAAAAAATATGAATAAAATATCAAGAATGTCTTAATAGAGAGTATCAGTCAGAACGGAGAAATGTTACTAAATTTAAAGTGATATTTCATCCAATGCAGAGAAATATAAATATCAAAATTATCAAGCATCAAATTGTAAGTTATCGCATCGAGTAAAGGTAACTAAAACGCGCATCCTAAGTTAAACTCCTCAAATGGATGTTTGTGGTACTTCACATTGACGAATTTCGGAAAAGATACCGTATTTTCATGGATACGGGTTATCACGTCCGGTCCGGAGAAAGAAGTAGCCGATATTTTTCCCCGGATAGGAAATCAAGATCGTGGCTGGGTATAATCGCGAGGGCGATCGACGGCCTGGTCGTATCGGCGGGGGCGAGATTGAAGGCCCGGCTAACGAGTTGTTTATGGATCCACCCTCCGCCCGTAGCCGTGCCGATGCGATGTGCCCGAGAGGGCGAGCGTGTACGCGTACGTGTGTACCGGTTGCTCAGCCAGACGTATGGACGTACGGGGGAGTCCATTAACGGGCTCTCCGTTGCCCGCCAGCGGCGTAGTTCGCATCGTCGTCGTGCCACCACCACCACCCCTCGGCAAGCAACCGCTTTCTCTCTCGCCCTCAGTCAGCAGCAGCCGGGTTATCCCGTCGGTAGTCATGGTAACACGTGGGTTGGAGCCGCCCCCGGCCGCCAATCAGAGCTCGCGGCCAGGATGAGAGAAACGAGCGGCGACCCTTCGAGCCGGGGTTCTCTCCTCGCCCCTTAGACAACGAACCCCTACAGCGGAGCACATAGACACCCCTTTCCACTATTCGCTCTTCTCTCGGTCCGTCTCTCTCTCTGCCTTTTCTCGCCGCCGGGGTGGCTGAGATTCTCGCTTGGGAGGAAATCTTAACCGGGCGTGCCCCGCATCGTTGATGCCACCTACACCCGTCTTGCGAGGTGGCTAGCCTTCCATGCCCTCCGTCTTCCTTCTTCCCCCTATGCCCCCTCACCCTCCCCCTCCTTCTCGACTTAAGGAGAGTCTTGACCGAACAGGATAGAGCTGGCAGCACTTCAGTACTTTAGGATTAACGTGCATGCTCGCCGGAATGCGACAGGCGGAAGAGGGAAGCTGGATTGCGCTGTTCGAGTTTTCCGATTCTCCTTTTAAGTTCATTGTACTTGACGATAGACTACCTTTATAAATAGTTCGGATAGAATAACACATTATATCCGTATCTATATATAAAGAAGATTTTATCAGCAAGAAAATAGCAGATATATTTTATTGTGTTTGATTAAAAGAATAAAATACTGTGAGGAATTTTTATATGAAACTTTCCGACATATTTCTTCCGATTTTATGTATATTCGTAATTATCGCATGTTATAGAGAGAAGCTTTCGATGAGAGTTAAAAATTTATAATTAAATACTTTTTTTATTTTTCAATTAAGCATTATCGATCGACCGGAATCGAACTTGATCAGTCACAAGTCTAGTTTCTTCTAAACAATTTCTATGTTCTTTCTGTTACAGGCGAAAAACCTCATAAATGTCAAGTATGCGGCAAAGCGTTCTCGCAGAGCAGCAACCTGATTACGCATTCGAGAAAGCACACTGGTTACAAGCCATTCGCTTGCGAGCTCTGTGGTCGAGCTTTCCAGCGTAAGGTCGATCTGAGAAGGCATCGCGAGACTCAGCATGCAGACCTAAATGCGTCGCATCGACCGCCGATTGGTTCGATTCCCGGACAGAATTCCTTGCCCAGTGGAAATCCACCGATGATGCAGTGAGACCGCGACGCGGTTGATAATCCAGCGCCAGATTGATACGGAACAATGATTGGAGATTGTCGTAATTAATGACTCTTTTCTGCGTATCAGACCGGATTGAGCATGCAACTGTGAGAAATGAAATTATAAATGGCAATCTCCACGATCGTTGATGATGGCGGAGAAGAAAACGATAAATTAATCTCATGGATAGAATTGCGATTGAGGCGATTGCGGATTGCATCGCGATGGATCGCTGGTTGAAAGATACTAACTTTTTGCACTTTGCATTATTTTCTATTTCTAATATATCATCTCTTGATTCGAAAAAATAGAAAATATCAACGTCACTTAAGAGATATATTTATAAGCTAAATTTATAACAGCTCCTAAATTTATAATAGACACAAAAATTGCGTTACATATATTATTACGGAGAATAATTAATTCGAAATATTAAAAAATATTGCGATATTTAAGAAAAAATAAAAAGGCAAAATGTTAATATCGATCAATCGCTGATCACATTTCTTGTAAATTCAGATCGCATTAGTTGCGAAATTAATCGGAACAGTGCAATTCGAGAGTTAACTCTCGAGATGAAATAAAATTTGCCGGAAAGGGGGTACTGTAATTTTTTTATTGCAAGATCTTTATTGATCTTTTGACGTTAGTGCGAGGAGACTGTATAAGTTGATATTTATTCGACCATTTGTTTCGCGTGCGTCGATTAATCTAACGTGAATATTCCACGATTTCAAGGACCCTTGTGAAATACACTCAGGATAAATGGAGAAAGTGCATTTGTGATTCGTTGCGACTAGACATTCCATGAAAAAACGTTGCATTCGTTTCGTTCCTAAAAGTGAAGTGTGTCGGGGTTTGGTTTCTTCAGCGATTTTTATTCGGGCGAAGAACCTTTTGCGGTGAGAAATAATAATTGATGAATATAATGATACGTAAGCGTGAAAGTGAATGGACTGATGACTGTTTTTGTTACGAATGATGATTAACACTTTCTACTTTAATCGTCTAGCTACTTGCAAATCGATTACCTGTTACTGTAACTTCCCTTATTGCGTAGATATTTCCACGATACGCAATGCGACGTCAAATTAATCGGACATTTTATAAGATTTATTTAACTTTATAATGATGTAATACATTTATGTTAATTACATTTATTAAAAACAAGATTTTACTTACAGTCTATCTAAAATTATGTCATTTTTAATATACTCGAAATGATATGTAATTTTTTAAATTACATTTTTTGATGATTTATAAAAACAGTTTATAAAAAAACTGAAAAATGTATTTGCAAAAATTTGTATATAAATATTATTAAGCAAAATCTGCTACAACTGAAAATAGGATTATTTCTTCTATTACATTTTTTTATGTTATATTTAAATTTTTTAAATGTAAATAACGTCCGATTAGCATGATTGAATCGAATGGCGTGTCGAAGTACGGCGGAAACGTACTATATTTTGCATATCTCCCGCACTTGTCATTGAAAAAAAAAACAGCATCAAGATCACCAGCCCTTAAAAGTTGCAACTGTGACCAAAAATTGTAAATAGCACGTAGATCGTATCACGGCTAGTCTAAGCGTATAAATATATACATATGAATAAATCGAAACTATAAATATTATAAATAGAGAGGGCATATAATGTATGCGGCACAGAGTCGACTAAATGGCGGCTCGCATGCCGTGTGGCCTCACCAAGAAGTTATTATATTCTTCCCTTTTTCTCGCTATCAAAATTTTTATTGTTGTACCATTAATATCATTATGTAATTATTGTAATTAGAGACTCGCTATTAATATTATTGTCATTATTATTAACAATAAACGCTGTTACCATTTGTAAACGCTTCTTCTGTCTAGCAATCTCTTTTCCTTCTTTAACCTTTCAATACATTTATATTGAAAAAGATTTTTCTGTTATTATTTATTTTATTGCAATACATAATTCTGTACACGGTACAAAACTAGCGTAAAAAATAACGAGTACTAAGTTAAAAACAAAAGAAAATTATAAATACTTTATTTAGTTGATAAAAAATAATTTTCTTGATAATATATATTGGTATTATCAACATTAAAGATTCGTAATTCTATTGAAGTGGAAAAGAATTAAGAAGTAAAAAAGTAATTATATTGCAAAATATGTTTACGTCTTAATTTGTACGACCTTTCACTTTTCAAGTCAATAGCTCGATTAATCAAGGTCGCTGAATCTGGCACTGCCGGATCACGATCGTCCCAGCTTCACTCGCTGTAATTCAGGGTTAAACGGCTGTGCCAATTAAGCAGACTACCCTGAAGAACCCCTTAACAGCCCAATATGTTTTCTGACGGAGAGAGTTTCCCTGAACTTGCCCACTCTCCCTTCTATTCGCGCGCTCATTATTTCGTGCAGGGGTGTACGAATGTGATGTTAGGGCGGACGTGAGATTTTCCGTAAGCTCGTTTACAGCTACCATCGTCTACACCAATCGTACAGGACGTCGTCGCGAAGATAAAGGATAAGAGCTGACAGAGAAGAGAGAAGAAAGACAGAGAACGTCGAAAAATTTATCTACGAGAGAGATAGGCAAAGAGAAAGATAAATAGAGAGCGAGACAGAGACGGTGGAGGGACATTACAGCACAGACTGCACGACACCATGACGCAGCCACGGGAGCAGATTGGACAGTTATTGCATTCTGGGTAAGATTAATTGATATGGGGACCAGTGGGTGGGCCGAAGGGCGCGCGGCTACGTCGGCGTTTAAACCTTGTCTCAGGCTGTACGAATTGGGGGGATGAGAGAGCGGTGATTAACCGATTGCATCGTGAACCGAGTGGAACCGAAAACCATCCCTCCCGCGTACTTCCTAATAACCATTGAGTAATAGAGAGCCGTCCATTATTAAATAGCATCAAGCCGCGCGAAGACGTACGTGAGACATCATCATGTGGATCAAGCACTTGTAAAGCAGCAGCTTTAATGCTATAAGCTTTAATGCTAGTGTAATCTATAAGTACACTAAGAAAAAATAGCCTAAATTTAAATAAATATTTATTTGAATACTGCCAACTAAACTTTACTTACAATAAATAAATATTTACTTAATAAAAAGAAGTGATTATTAAATCAAATTAATATTTTCTTTTAGCACATAAAAATATATTTTTATATTTAATAAATATTTATGGAAATTTAGGATATTTTTTTCTCAGTGTAATGAATTTTTAAATGTTTATTTATATTCTACAAAGATTTAATAGTTTACATCGCACCTGATGTCTAAAAATTATTTCTGAATCTCGAAACATCAACCTCTTCCTACCGATGCGACGCAAAAATAATAAAAAGTCAATAAGTTGGATCGCAGTGACAAAATCGTCCGTAACGATCTGCGCGCGGTGTTGAAAATTGTCCGAACAATTTTGCAGAGTACCGTGCGACCGTAATACCTCGTGTTATTGGTTCCGCCCCGTCACGAGTACCAATCGCGAATATTCCCGACTATCACAATTTCTGCGACGCCACTTTAACGCGTAGTGGCTGTATTCGGTTCCCGTATCGCCTACGCTCCTCCTCATCGTATCCTCACGGAGAACAGCCGTCCAGAACTGTATCATCTCGTGCAGCTGCCGACTATGGAACATTCAAATACGTTTTAGAGGACAACTCCATATACTCGTCGTATGCGGATACACCTTATGACTATTAAGGTATTCACGGCCCCTCCGAGGACGCCCCAGTTTGAAATATGGCGACTCGAGTCACCGCCAGCGTATACCACCAGTCAGAGATGCCGCTATCTCGCATCGTCGTTCTCCCCCTTCTGTCGTTTTCAATCCCCTCTCTCTCTCCATCGCGACTTCGTTTTTCCTTTTTCGTATTTCTTTCCTCATGTGTCTTGTACACGTACACCTTCGGTGGAGTGTCGCAAGGTGGAAGAAGGCCGCATCCCCCATATACCGCGGTTTTCCATATTATTTACAACCCTCGTCCTGCATGTTGCCCCCGCAATAACTCGGTCCGGATCCGCGAACGCGCGAGCGTGTCGCCAAATTGGTAGAAACCGTACGAGGACGTCGTAACCTGTCCCGTGACAACTCTGAGTGATGTAGTGGCACAAGGATCTGACATACGGATGTTGTCCGTTAGAAGACGAAGGGAAATATGATTGCGCGACAATTTTTTAGGGTTGATCTTGATGGTTTCACTGAGACTTAAATATGTATATTGTAGTCAGCTATCGATTAAAAATATTGCAATTAAAAGTTGGATGCCATATTATTATTTACGATTAGCAAAAATAGCATTACAAAATATTTTATACTATAGAAAATAATTAGAAAAATATCAATGTTGTATCTTTCGAATAAGGAAGAAAAGATATTAATTTATTGATTTGCTTTATTATCATTTTATGTAAATAATTAATATGCAAGACGATGTTGAAATGATAATTAATTAGTAACTAAATTTTATCGATACATTGTTTATAATTATTTTTTAATTTTGTTAAAAAGTTAAACTAAAATTGAAGACCCATATTAAATGATTTTATTTAAATTACACATTATATTTATTTAATTAAATCTATCTTGCACACTTATCAATTAATACTAAATCAATTTACGCTCAATGCTTTGTTGACTTGTACTGTTATAATTAATTTGGTTAAACAATTCTCTTTTAAACTGCTTTAAAAATAATAAATGCGATTGCGTCAGTTTTCATATTTTTTCTCATCATTATCGCACATATCAGACAAAAAATATCTACGCATTCATAAATAACACATTTTCTTAACGCAAATATCTTTTTATTTAAAAATACTATTACTACATTTTTTACTATTCGCAAAATGTTATACGCAAATTTTTGCGACGTTGCGTTATTTTTTTCTCATTCTTTATTCTTCTACGCGTCAGTTTCCAAGCTAACACGTGACCGGATAGCGAAATCTCATTTTGCGCAAATGCGTTTTGGATGCTGCGTGGATTTGCATGTCAGTTGCATTTGCACGGGTCAACCGGATTAAAAAATATCGATGTCCAATTATCGTCGGACATAGCGCGGCTAATGGAATTT